GATCGCTTGTATGTTAACAGGCATCGATGCCTGTTTTTAAATATCGGGCATTTCCCGCTCAGAGCTAGAGAGCTCCCGGCCAGCCGTTCTTTTACAGTGGCCGGTCAGTGCTTTTCCCCATAGTTCTCATAAGGGCCATAGGAGAACACAAACTAGTGTTCTCCCGTGACCCAAAGCTCAGTATACCACGAGCTACAGCTCGCGGTATACTGAGACGCCGCAGCCGGAACGGATCCCGACATTGCTGTCGAGATCCACGCAGCTGGCTCTGCCTATCGAGGGGGCAGAGCCCGCTGTGCCCGCCCCCTCCCCCGTCCGTTCCGCCAGTCTGCGCTGGAGGATCGACAGGGGAGGGGGGGAATCCCTGCAGGAAGCCGTGAGTGACAGTCACGGCTCTCTGCATGGATAGATCGAGAAGTGAGCGAGCGACGGTATGTGTTCGCTATTTTTCTACCGGTCCCTGATTGGGTACATTTTCTTTTACTTTTACTGTTTCAGAAACACAATAGAAAGTGAGAGCAAATCTCTAGAAATGCAAAGGGAGTCTCCCTATTAAATAGTGGTCACCGGATGAGGTATCCCTATTGAAAGACTTCTCGCCACCTCTTGTTGTGGTGACAACTCTAAAATGTTAAATTTCCCATCGTTTTCTGCTTCAGAGACAACGGTCACTAGGACAAACTCTTAGGGTGAATATATCTAGCAGGGGCACAGTCAATATATCACAGAAGTTCTAATCCTTGCACCAGACTAAAAAAAAGTATAAGCTTATACATACCGTTTACTCTAAATTATGAAAACATTTTGTTAGCCAGACACTCCACCTGGTGTTTATGACCCTTCATCCAGTTTACTTAGAAGACACCTGTTACTCTATCATGTTTTGTTTAATTACTTTATTCTTGGTCTAGTAGTGGTTTGCCATATTCAACTGGACTTGTTTTGTAATATGTTAAAGAGGAACTTTACCCATATTTTCAAAATAACAACAAATGCACCTTTAGAAATGTTTAGTTATGACAACCTAGAAACACATACTAATAGATAATTGCAGGCTTTTTTTTTTTTTTTTGCATACCCTGTTTTTCTTTTCCTCTCTATTCTTCAATAGTGGCCATTTTTACTAAGGGAAGATTATTCCATCTCCTTTTACTTCCTGGAACTTTGGCACATGTGACTAGGACATGTGACCATGCACATCACCTCAGGGGAGAAAAATGCCTTTCCCTGAGATCTCGTGAGATTACAGATGCGATTTCCCAGCAATCTACTGCTGATGTAACCTTCCACAATGCAACACTTGGCCACATTACATCACTTTTGCCAAAGAGAACCAGGAAGTAGAAAACAAAAAATTGTAAGTAAAATAAAAATATGTTTGTTTAGCTAATGAATGTAAAGGTGATTTCATATTAGCATGCAGAGCTGCATGCTGATGTAATTTTTAGCCAAAGGGGCTAAAGGTCCACTTTGACATTTCACCACTCATCCAAACTGCTTTCTCAGTCCTGTCTTCTCTGTCAATCTACTTTATGTAGGTGGAGTTTGATGATGCATCTCAGCTAATGGTAAAACGCAATGAAATCTTTACATTGGAAGAGCCACTACCAAAGAGAGTGAAATGCCGATTGGTAAGTTCTACTGTAGTGAGGGCCAAAAAAGGTTTGAATGAGCCTATTTTTTCTATTCTAACTCAGTTGTGTTTGCTGTATTGTAAAAATAAGTGAATTGGTGCTTTTTGTAAAATGATTTAGCTTAACTTTGTTTATGTATGTCTTATCTAACAACATATATTACAATCTGATTGTATAATCTATTAAAGAGCAGCGATAGGCAAGTGAAACTATTTAGTGAACTGTTAATGCTGTCTATAGTTATGAAAGGAATGGCTGGAAATTCACCTTCCCTTTTGCCTCATCCATGTCTCCACCATTTTCATCCAGTGGCAAATTAAAATGCGTTCAGGTTTGATAACCCTGCTATATGCAGTACCTCACAAGTCACTACAAGGAGCAGGGGGGAAGCAGGTTGAACTGAGCTGCTGAAAGTAGTAAATAGTTAATGATGTCAGTGTTTCTGCTGTGAACTTCCTGGGAATTGCTCTGGAAACCCTACGTAAGCCCAGTTTAGTTTGGTGTAGGACATCTCACCCCAGCTCTTCTGTATACTTAATGAATCCTGCAAGATTACCTAACAGCAGCTGCTGACATTGTCACACCAGACAACTCCAGTTCCTGGATTTTCACCCCATATATATATGGAACTGGGGATCTGTTATGACAAATTATGAGCAGGATGGTTGCTGCAGTGAATATCCAAATTTGGGGGTCTGATGCAAATTGGAGCTACATGGAAGCTGTTGGGGTGAAAACGCTCTCGAGCGGCCATGAAGGATCATGGGGCAGGCACATGCACAGTAGAGATCCTCGGCTGGGAGAAGAGGAGAGACACAGTGTAAGTCAATGCATGCAGCCGGCAGCGTGCATGCGGACAGACACCGTGGGACACTGGAGACACAGCAGTCGGCGCTGGATCAAAGACCGTCACCAGCGCTGGAGGCACTACTGAAAAGAAGAAGATGATTGGATCAAGAGGCATCATTTAAGGTAAGTCCTTAAAGCAGCATGGGGGGGGGGAGGAGATGTGACTTTATTGTCACTTTTAAGTGTTACTTTTTTATTCTGTGCATTTTTCCTTCTTCTTGAAGACTGTGGCAACAGCATAAGCAGCTTTTATGTTTGATAACTTCTTTAGCTCCCTCTTTAAATCCTTTGAAGGGTGTCATTAAGAAGGAAGTTTAGTCCATGAGATCCACATCCTATTGCAGTAATATGTGGATACTTGTCCATAATGATTTCCCATGCAGCTTTCATATTACTTGCATTGTCGGTCAGCAAAGCATGTACTTTATCACTCTCAATTTAAAACTGCACATATTTCACTGCTGATAAACTCTGCAGTATGCCTGTTCTCTTCAGTTTCAGTGCTTCTATAAAAGACTGGTGAAGGTGGTGTTATCGCAAAGTGGAAGATTTTTTTCACCCTGAACATTTTCCAATCCATCTCTAAATACTGCAAGACATAGTGCTTCACTGATTGTTTGTTTTCCTTGTACAGATTTCATCATGTGCTCATATTCTGACTCTAAAAGAGGCTTGCTCAAGGAATGATAGTCTCATCATTTTACTAAAAGGCGCCTTTACTCTAGTGCCTCCCCAGTGCAGACCTTACTAATCATTGTTCGGCCGGAGCTCAGAACTGTCAGAGCTCCGACAGGAGCTGACAGTAGCAGCTCTGTGGTCTGCATCCGACAGAGATGCAGACCGTGTACCGGATTCGTCAGCTGCCTGCAAGTCACATAGTACCGGCCTGCGGGCCGGGACTTTGAGACCCCTGTTGTAAAGGAACTGACACCAGTAGCCTGAACTACTGTCCCCGCTTAAGTCGCAGCACTCCTAAGAGTCCTTATCCCTGTCAGGGGTGGTTCCGTCGTCCTCCTTATCCAGGGAGAAATTCTCAACTGCTATTAGCAAGCAGTAGATATATGCAAAAACATTTTTTTTAAAGTACAGTTACCAAATAGGTAAAAACTTACCTGTGTCTCCTCCGCTCGCTCTCGAGCGGCCATGAAGGATCATGGGGCAGGCACATGCACAGTAGAGATCCTCGGCTGGGAGAAGAGGAGAGACACAGTGTAAGTCAATGCATGCAGCCGGCAGCGTGCATGCGGACAGACACCGTGGGACACTACCGGATTCGTCAGCTGCCTGCAAGTCACATAGTACCGGCCTGCGGGCCGGTACTTTGAGACCCCTGTTGTAAAGGAACTGACACCAGTAGCCTGAACTACTGTCCCCGCTTAAGTCGCAGCACTCCTAAGAGTCCTTATCCCTGTCAGGGGTGGTTCCGTCGTCCTCCTTATCCAGGGAGAAATTCTCAACTGCTATGTCTAAATCTCTGCAAGTTGACAGGGGCCACAGCCTGCATTCACACCATCCCCTCCAGAGTCTTTCTCTGATTTCCTGTAGCTGCTACTGTTTCTGCATAATCTGCCGAGGATTGTGAGGAATGTACCCTATCAATGTTTGGGACTTGGTACATAAAGAGTCTCGGTCTACTGACATAACTCAGAAACTTAAGGATACCATTTCTCTCCTTATTGAAGCAGTGCTCACATGTCTAGACGGAGAACAGCCTGCCTTGGCCGTACCTAAAATTCCTAGCCTGGGTTCCCTGGTTAAAACGTTTCCTGTACATTTATTTTGCAAACTGCTTTGTATAGTGATTGGCCTAATCCAGACAAAACTTTCACTCCTTCCAAAATGATCCAGTGGGTAAAAGGCTAGAAGCCCTTTCCAAGGCCTTCTTCTACCTCTCAGGCCCTGCTCGGAATCTGCCATTACTGCAATGTCCCTCTGTCAGACTTTGGCCATTTGGTCCACAGATATGTCCCAGGATCCTGGATCTATCCGGATGGATCTCTCTGTCCTCAAGCAGCTGGAGCTTATGTCTGTTACCCTATTCTATTGTGTTGATGGGTTGGCAAGTATTATAGGCCTGATATCCAGAATGAGTCTCCTTTTGGTACACATGCCGAGAACCATTTGACTCAAATGCTGGTCTGAGAAACAGCAGTTCAAAAAAAGATTGTATTGTGCATGCCCTTGAAGGGGGAATGCCTCTTTGACAAATCCAGAGACACCTTTATTAACAATCTTCTTAAGAAGTATTAACCCATTAGGGTTATATTCTATTTTATACTCCATGGTATTCTACTTCATTAGCTACATTATACTTAAATCAAAATAAGAAGAAACAAAGTGACTAAATACCCCAACTGTTTCAGAGCTCTCTCTCACAATGTTGTTACATAACCTTTTATAGATTTATACTAATATTTCTTCATCAACATATCACACATATATAACAAAAATATAAATGAATATATAGCTTCTCAGTCACAGCAAGACTTAAAATGATCACTGTTCAAAATTCTTTAAGCGTTCACAAAAAACAGCTGACTTTCAGGGCATCATTTATTACAGGATAATCAAAGCTCCTTAAAAGCTGGATCCATTTACATTCTTTTTTGCAGGATTACTTTATCCAATTTCCCCCTCTACCGTTTTTATGAATCTTTTCTAGCATACAGAATTTCAGACCACTAGGGACACCATTGTGTTTAGAAGCAAAATGTCTTGCTATTGGTGACAAAAGATTGTAGGATTTTATGTCTCCCACATGGTCGGAAATACATCTTTTGAAAGTTCTCTTGGTTTTGCCTATATAGTACATACCACAAGGGCAAATCAGGAGATAGACAATAAACTCTGTATTACAATGAGCAAAAATCGGTTGCCATTTGGCAAGATGACAGTCGAACCTACTTTGACTGGCAAAAATCACGTATTTGCAACACTGCTTTATTTTATTTGCATTATACTAACTTCTTGTTAATACATTCTTTAAGGATCTAGACATCCTGAAAGACCGCATAGGGAAGTCTGGGATACATTATCTCTTTTAAATAAGTACATTATGTATTCAAGTATATTATACATTAAGTATATTATACATTTCGTGCTCAAGTCACGAAACGCAGCAGCCCTGGTTCTGTATTTCTACTCTCTTTTTTGTAATGTACACTTTGAATAGCTTTATATTTTGTAAGCTTTAGTGAGGGTTTTACTTCCATATCCTCTCCTATTCAGTCTGGCTCTCAATTTCTGTGCTTCCTCCAGAAAATCTTCATATGGAATATTCCTTACCACATGATTAAAATGGCTACTGGTTGCTAGGAGAATATTATTATATTATTCCCTGCTGTTTCCCTTCTATACAGTTTAGTACACAACATTCCACTTTCATCCTTGCAGATGTAAATATCTAGGAAGGGAATACAGGTTAGATAAAACGCTAAGGTGAGTTTTAAATTCCAGGTATTTTGATTTAGAAGTTTCACAAAATCTTTTATTTCTTCTATCGTTCCAGACCATAAAATCAGGATATCATCGATGTAACTGTGCCAGAAAATCACCTGGTACAGGTTCATCGCATAGTCATCAGTAGAAAACACCTCCTGTTCCCACCCCCCAAATACAACTTTGCATACGATGGGGCACACGTAGTGCCCTGCATTAAAAATAAAAATATTGTTAGTGAGGGTAAAACGATGCAAAGCCAGCACAAATTCGTTATGATCACTTTTTTCTGTGTCTAATTCACTGAGCAAATCCCTGATGACTCTCAAACCCTGTTCGTGTGGAATTGAGGAATACAAAGATTCCACATCCAAACCTCACAAGGAGAGAATTCTCAGGTATCTGTACTTCATCCAAAGTTTTTATCATATGCGGAGTATCTTAAAACCACATGTGGCGTAGTTCCCAACATTTGTTAAACACCCAATCAACATAAATCATAGCATTTTCTGTGATGCTACCTTAGCTGAACACTTTTGGCCTTCCTGGTTGTCTAATTTTACTCTTCTGGATTTTGGGAAGGGCATAAAACACCAGAGTTATAGGAAAATCCAGCTTCAGAAATTCTGCCGTTTTCCTTCTAATGATGTTACTATTAGGGCGCAATCAAACGAAGCAGGTTACCCTTTTGATGTTCTACCGTACTTGCC